GGCCTGTCCGAAGCCTGCCTCCTCTCTTCTTATGGGCTTCCGAGGCATTTTGGGCCGCCTTCAAACCCTCCTCGGCAGCCGGCAGGCCTGTTGCGGCCTCTCTGTGGCCTGTCCGAAGCCTGCCTCCTCTCTTCTTATGGGCTTCCGAAGGCGACGTTAGGCATTTTGGACCGCCAGTCTATTAGCACCTGGGCTGTCCAACAAGGCCCCCGCAAACAGCCGCCAGTCTATTAGCACAGCCAGAACAGAGGCATTGCTACTTCGTTTTCTTCTTTTTCTTCTTCTTCTTCTTCTTGTTCTTCTTCTGCTTCTTCTTCTTCTTCTGCTTGCCATTGTCCAGCCACGCAGATAGACCTGCGGCCGTCCACAGGAAGTGCTACGGTCAGCACCAGGGCTGCCGCAGCACAAGCCTTGCTGGCTCAGCACCTGGGCTGTCCAACAAGGCCCCCGCAAACAGCTGCCAGTCTATTAGCACAGCCAGAACAGAGGCATTGCTACTTCGTTTTCTTCTTTTTCTTCTTCTTCTTCTTCTTGTTCTTCTTCTGCTTCTTCTTCTTCTTCTGCTTGCCATTGTCCAGCCACGCAGATAGACCTGCGGCCGTCCACAGGAAGTGCTACGGTCAGCACCAGGGCTGCCGCAGCACAAGCCTTGCTGGCTCAGCACCTGGGCTGTCCAACAAGGCCCCCGCAAACAGCCGCCAGTCTATTAGCACAGCCAGAACAGGGGCATTGCTACTATGCTTCTTGCTGCCTGTTGCTAGTGGTTTTTCTGATCTTGTGATGCTTCGGGTCTTCTTCTTCGTGCTGCTGCTGTGATTGCTGTTGTTGGTGTATATCCTGGGGTCGCAGGGCACAACCTTGGCATTGGCATCTCTACCTTTGCGGGCTTTAGCGCATGCCACGCAGCCTCCACTCCTCTTGAAAAGGGGTCGGCGGCACCCGGGCGAAGCCCTTACAATATGATCAGCCATGTGCAGTGAAAAAACCTGGGATCCAAAGGTGGCAGTGAACGTGTGTTCTATTCCATCCAAGCTAGTTACATATTTATCTGAAAAAAAGAAAACAAGTAAAACAAGAGCTGACCAAGCGTCTCGGAAACGTCACGATCGCGCAGCCCTCCGGCGGCTCCGCCGGTGCGGCCGTCGTCGCGGCGGCGTCGTCCGCGGCGCCGGCGGCGAAGGCGCCGTCGTCGTCGTCGGCGCCGAGGCAAACGCCAGCACGGAAGACGGTGGTGTAGTCCACGACCTGCAGGGGCTGGACATGAAATGACTTGATTTCTTTTGTCATGTTCCTAACAAAGGTGTTTCGGAATGCTTGGAAGAAGCTTCTGAGAGGCAAAGGAGAGCTTTGGTGGCTTGCTCCATCCTCCAGGGTCCTTCTCTGCAAAATGGGACCTGCTGTTTGACCGTTTGAGGATGTTTGAGATCATGGGGAAGCATGCGAAAACTTCCAGAGGCGACTTTCGAGGATGCAAATGGGTCGTATCGAACCTTTGACCTCTGCTAACCATCAAAACCCCGTTGTGCAACTAAGGTCTCCAGCTATGCTCGTTGGTGCTTACCTCATCCTTGGAGAATCATGTGCAGCCAGAGTCCCCTCAAAAACATATTTGGCAAGCTAACCAGCTTCTCTCAGGATCCCCTTCCTGACCATCCTACCTGTCATCCCCAAACAAGTACCTCCCACCTTGCCAGGTGCAATCTGTTGCCAAACGTCTGCACCTTTCAACATCATTTCCAGCCAGTGATCAAAGCGGTGCACATACCTGCGCGGGAACAGCGCGGAACGGCGGCTGACGGTGGGTCCAGCCTGTCTGAATGGATGATGACGGAATCAGGAAGCCCAGTCGGGAAACCAAAAATATGGCTCACCGTTTCCTCACAACAAGTCTTCTCCCCTGCCACTGGACAAACCGTGGTCCAGGACCTACATGCGAACCTGGCCGCCGCACCTGAGAACTGAAGGTGTCAAGCACTGGAAGAGAGGCCGCCAGAAGGGCCCGCCAGTCCAAGAGATCACCTGCAGTCCGGCGGCGACGCTTGGGATCGAAAGGAGGGAATCCTGGTCCAAACACATGGGGACATCAGCAACAAAAGCAACCTTATTTATATGCCCCTCAAGATCCATTCCGTGCAAGTGACTCAAGTGACTCGCCAGCCTAGCTGCTCAGCCAACAAATGTGTCCCCTCAGCTCGAATCAATTCAGGCATTCTACATGTGTCCGTGACCAAAAATCAAGCTTCTCTACTCCAACTAGCACTTCCTTCCTTCCCCATAACCATCATCTAACCATCAATCAAACCCACTTGAAAAGACCACTCCACCTGTCATACCCAGCTCCATCCCACTCCACTCGCCCCGCACCGAAGAGTTATAGCCGCCCTCGGCCAGCTCACAGGCAATGCCGTCGGTGCGGAGCAGTGCAAAGGGGCCACGGTAGGAGGCCAAAGGCTCCAAGGAGCCCACGATGACCTGCCCAGGAGCGAGCTGGGAGATGATCCTAAGGGCCGTGAGGTCGGGCAGGGAAAAACGGAGATGTTCTCGAACCTGAGCAATGTTCAGGGTGTATCTGGTTTTCACTCAGTTCCCAACACGGCATATAACCCTCCAGAAAGAGATGGCAACCACTAATTGATAGACAAATTCACCTTCTCAGAGCAATGTGGATGGTGCAAAAGAGAGATGGCATCCACAAACTGCTAGACATGGTGTCCAAAACATCTTCTTCGACGAACTGACCAATTGATTCACTTTCTCAGACTGAATGGTCACTCAAGTCACTCAAGTCACCAAAGCCAGCCACTGAAGCCGAAACCCCATTCTTCACGTAGCAAAACATGGGAGCCGAACTGAGCCGTCGGCTGTTACTGCCCATGGCCCATGGAAGACCGACTGAGATTGGCACCCTCAAGCCAAAAGACACAACGACGTAGGTTCAACAAGGTGGAGGTGGGAAACAAACATACGAACAAGGCTCTACCCCCAGACCCCAAGAGTTAAACGAGAACCCTTCGCTACGCATTCGGGAAAAAAATCATGTGGAGGTGGGAAACAACCATACTGTACTTCAAAGATCAAAGAGCTTTAGCACCAGCAGTTCCCTGTCGGGGTGCCGACCCGGTTTTACCGGGCAGAGGTGCCCCAGAAGACATCCACGATGGGACCCAAAACCCACCTCCTTTGACACTGCTGGGGAAATCACAGTCTCCCCGTCTCACCAGATCGATTTCTCCGCAGTTTTTGCAGAGGTGTCCGTTTTCTTGGCTATGTGGCCTGATCCAAGTCCAAGAACAGGACTCTCTTCCTTGGCGCATGCTGTCAGTCATAGATGCTTCATGTTTGCACGCACTGTGAGTCAGTGACTGACAAAACAAGGTGATCCCATCTCGATTGTCCAGCTGAACTCGGGTCTCCAAGATGCACACAAAGAACTCATGACTCCATAGACTCCATAGACGAAACATGACAAAACATGACGAAACTGATATATAAAACATTCTTTCAATTCTTTCATTCTATACAAGCTTCCCATCCAAGCCAGCCTCTTCACTAAACAAATAGGCCTTCCCCCACCACAAGTGGAACTTCTCCGGCAACTCCCGCACCTCGATCGACGCGTCGATCCCCTCGGGGCTCTCCGTGAAGCACACGCAGCGGGGCGCGCTCGGCAGCTGTCGACTGGCGGCCGCGCAGAGGCGGTTCACGTAGGCGGCGTCGTAGCGCTGGCCCCACTTGAGGCACACGAGCACCGCGTCCGGTGGAGCGTCCGCCGCGGCAGCGGCGCTCGAGCGCTCCTGGAGTTCGGGGTGGCGATGGGGGCGGCGAGTGGCGCCCTTGGGGATTTCAAGGGGCATTCGATGAGATTGCAGCAGGAGGAACAACAGCAGCAGCAACGACAAAACACAAAAAGAAAAAGAATAAGAATCGAAGAAGAAGAAGAAGAAGAAGAATCGAAGAATCGAAGAATCGAAGAAGAAGAAGAAGAAGAAGAATCGAAGAAGAAGAAGAATAAGAAGAAGAAGAAGAACGACGAGTGACTTCACTGATATTTTTAAAGAGTCTCAGAGTCCCTACACCGGATTCATGTGTTTTATCGTGTTTTCACTGTGCCAGGTGGTGCGAGGTGAGATCCTATTTACTATCCAGTGCATCTCTCCGTTTCCATCGGAATTGGCGAAAGAAGGAAGGAAAAACCTCCCAAGACGTCCTACGACTCTAGGAATGTTCTCTGTTGAAGGTGGGTTCACCACGCTTCACCATAGTTCACCTGTTCAACTTCCAGCACCTCAAGGCACCCCAACCAAAATGAGGAGATCACCACCATCTGCGCCAGGTCGATCAGATCGATCAACAAGTGAACGTCTTCTTGTTCAAGGCGACGTTTCGCCCAGCCCTCCTGGCTCTCGTTCCATCGACTGCAATCAATCTGCACCACCGGAATCGCCACATCCGCGGCATCCGAGGATCGCCCCGTTTGATGCCACAGGATCTGCTCCCACACCAGCGCCACCGCCTTCGGTCCATCGAGCCCGTGAGGCTCCGATCGGGAGAGTGCATTTGTTGTAAGAGATCGGGGGGGGTCCGAGATCCGTCTCGAGGTGGCGCCAAGCCAACTGAAAACCACACGAGTCGTAGGTCTCTACCATCGAGTTCATCTTCTCGCTCTATAGTTCTAAGTTCTAAGATTCTAAGTGGGCGCCTTTGAGGATGCCTTACAAGCGACGAAGCATCTCCGTCTTAAAAGCCCCTTTGCCATGTTGAAGCCCCCTGAGCTTTTGGGGGGCGCCTTCACTGGCCTTCGCCTAGACCCACCCTCCAACCGTCTATAGAGATCTTCTCTTTCGAACAGACCTCCATCTGGTGGTCGCTGCCGCTGCCGGCTGTTCGACCCTGCAGCCGGCCCAACCCGACCGCTCGTTTCGGCGCGGGGGCGGCCTCGTCGCGGCGGCCCAGGTTCCGCAAGGCATTGGCCAAGTTCATGGTGGCCTCCGGAAGGTCCGACCAGGTGCTTTGGAGAGACCGGGTCGTCTCCAGGGTCGGAGCATCGCCAGCGCGGCTTTGGGCGGGTGGGGTCCGGAGTGGGATTGAGCATGTCAGGGGACAGAATGAAATGAATCGCCGACATGAACGTCACTATAGGCCTTGGGTTTTGATACTCACTTGGAACCCAGACCCAAACTGGGGTGATTATCATCTCTTCAGATAGACTACGTCGTCTTTTTCTCAAAAGAGCAGGGCTTGGGCTGTGGATTTGGTGTCAAGTATTATCTGTTGGCCTTTGACTTGGTTCATGTACGTCTCTTGCGAAATTGATTGGGATGGGTAGGGGATGGTAGGGGAACATACTTTCATTGGTGGTCATAGAGTGTTTTTGCCTTGGGATTTATTTGATGCCGAATGTGTGGTCCCCTAATTGGAAAGGAATCCTGTGGAATCAGCAAATAGATTGCTTGGAGCTGGGGGTCTTGGGAGAATTCTACAGCAGGGCTGGGAGAGCACACTGCAATAGTTGAGGAATTCTTTGGCAAGGTCCAACCATGTTTTGATGCAAGACTGGAGCCTGTGACAGGCAATGAAACCATCAATCATCAAGCCGTTCTCAAAAGCACGCTCAAAAGACAGTTAAAGATGATTTGGCACCAAAATGGTCGAAACGGGCATCAAGAGTCTTTGACGTATTTGAAGGCTTCAAACACTTAGACTTCGAGACTACCTTCCGACTGGCCAAAGAACACTGAAAGCCACTTCTCCCCCCCATCCCCCTTGTCTTCCCCACCGTTCCCCACACATCCACCGACGACCGCCTCGCGGCTGTCGGGCTCCAAGCGCAGCGCCTCGCGGCAGAGGCGCTCCGCCTCGGCGAAGTCGCCCAAGCCCAGCTGGACGCCTCTCCGCCCGGGCGCCGTCCGGGCGCCGTCCGGGCGACGGCGAAGGGTCGGAAGCTGCGAAGGGTCGACCAATTGGAAACATGTCCCAGCTGGACTGACGGGCCACAATGGGAGAGGTGGAACTTGAACGACTGGAGTGTGTCCTTTCTTCTAGCAAATGTCAGGAAAAAGTATAGGATCAAGAATGTATTGCTTTGCGCAGGTCCTTTTTGTCCAGAATCCGTCTGGATACCGAAGAATTTCTGCATCCAAAGCCAGATCTTAGTCTACTCGCCCCACAGCAACCATGCTGCCAGGTTCTAGCGTTGGCCCCCCCAACAATAAACTACATCTCATTCGCTTCCAAAGATAAGAACCTTCGGGTACGCACTTTTACACGGTCACATGCCGTATTTCCATGTTGCTTGCTTTCAATCTGACACTTCTCCACACAAACCAAGAACATTCTTTGGTACCCCCTCCATGCTGCTTTGTGTAACACACGCTTGCCGCATGCCATTCAATGACACCGTCACCCCAAGAAAGAACACCAAAAAGCGGAGGAAGAAAACACGAAATCCATCGCACCTGCCAGATTGATGATGGCCCCCACCATGCTGGGACAAAGCTGCACCGCCCTCCGCAGCTCCTCCGCCGCTTCGCGGCGCAAGCGCAGGGCGCCCAGGCAGGTGCCCAGGCCAAAGTGGGCGCGGGCGCTGGGCAGCAACTCCAGGGAGGAACGGAAGTGTTCGGTGGCACCTAGGAGCTGCGGTGTTTGCAGCTGGGGGAGGATGCGGATTTGGCAGAATGAGGACGAGGGGTTACCCACCCCCTCCTGTCACCATGTCACCATGTCCATGAAAGCATCGGAGGTCTATGGATGATTTGTCATATGTCATATATAAGCCTTCATCTGTATAGGCCAGAAAAGAAGTATATGATAGGGGTCGGTATGAGGATGGCTCGGATTTCCTTTGCATTGAGTTCAATGAAAGCGTGGATGCAGGGGTCTTCTTACATTTGTCAGATTGGTCGAAAGAACTCAAGCGAAAACCCCTCGCGCATGGTTCATTGGAGAGATATTCTCACTTGTTCCGAGTTTCCTCATGCCTGAAAATCTTGAGACTCTCAAGTCAATCCATCCCACCAGGTGCCCCCCCCACTCCAGCCCGGCATCTTCAATCAGCTGAAAAATCCCAGGCACGCTCGTATTTCCCAGCCTTTTGCAGCAGGGTGGCCCATTTCACGTGCATCAAGGCTCGCAGCAAGGGACTCTTCGCCGCCGCGGACTGCCCCGTCTCCGCTCCTTCCTCTTCCTCCACGGGCTCCCCGGGCTCCGCGGGAGGCGCTTCAGCGGAAGGCTGTGAGCGAAGCTCGGTGCCACCGTAGCCGCCATGGGTAGGATTCATTACAGGTGACAAGCTTCAAAGTCTGAGAAAGGAATGATTTCAAATTGATGGGTTTCAGTGATATTGAGAGGAATCATGAATGGAATGTGCCAGCTGTATTTGTGGTATGTATACTTCGTTCTGGGTGGGGTGGGTGTTGGCAGTTTCCAGTTTCTTGAAGAAACATCGACGCTGGCAGAACTAAGGGTTGCTCGCTAAACGTTGCAGGAGTTATTCCCAACATCCGGTTGAGATAATTAATACAAAACCTGAAACTAGCACTTGACTCAAGGTATTTTACCATCACGCCTCCTGAAATAAGAATATAAGCACCACCAACGCTCAACACTGTAGTTTGGTCCTGTGAATTGGGTAGCTTGACCAGTTGTCGGCCTCCCAAACACATCCAACCATCCAACCCCATCGTTCCATCCAAACGACTTGACTTCGGTCGGTCGATCGGTCGGTCTTTGCCACATCTGAGCCAATCAACGGATTCCCGGGCCATGACTCAGCATGGAACCCAAACACACCGGGCTTAGCCAAGAGGAGACATGGTGTTTCAGGCTGCGATATGTTCAATACTGACTTTGCCCATAGTGGGGGACCTAGGGTAAGAGGAGAAACGAACCAAGTAACCAGTTCACGATCTTGAGAGCAGAAGCTGCAAGGCTCAAGAAGTTGATCTGTATGCATGCGTTTGCATCCTAAAAGCATCAAAAGCCTTTGTCCTTTGTCTACAAAATCTCAATGCACGCTAATTGATGCTATTTGCATCCTTCGTCTTTGGACCCTCAAATCAAGTCAACACCCAGGATCCTCTTCCTCATCATCACCAAAATAAGCAAAAACACCTCAATCCTCATCGAATCGATTGTTCTATTTGCCTCTCCTCCAGACAGAACCACTTCGCCCCAGACAGAACCACGCCGGTCGTCGCCGTCGCCGGCCGCTCGCCCGGTCGTCCGCCACGGCACCGATCTCTTGCACCAACGAGGCCACGGTGGGGTGCTCGAGGCCTCGGTGGCGTGGCCACTGGGGAAGGAAGGAAGGAAGGAAGGAAGGACGGACACCGCCGGGTGATGCAGGCCACGGTTGGCAGCTTTCTTTGAGGTTGGTGGAAGCACTTAAAAAATGAAAGAACAAGACAACTAGTCAAAGTAACTTCATAGAGTATGGATGAATATGGTTGGACATTCTGCATGGCGCAATAGAACCCCATGAAAGCAGCAAGTTGAAGAAGCAAGAATCAATCAAAACATATCAAAACCCCATAGACTACCCCAACCGACATCCACAGACCGTCCGCGGACCCCCAAAACGACCACGATCTCCCTGTGAAGTCGGTGACGATTCCAAGGCCAAGAACGACGTTGCTTGGTCCTTTTGCTGGGGTTCACCAGTCTGGGGCTGTATCTCAAGCGGCCAGCTTCCACATCACACACTGCAAGGTCAGAAAAGGACAACGGTTCCAAAATCATCCAGACCCACGACCCGAACTTGTTCGATCGTGCCAAACCCGAACCTCCCGGGAAATATAGCGACTTGGAGCCTTGTCTGCATGTGCAACACTGGTTCAATCACAAGCTTGAAGCGTCGAATTTCCGTTGAAAGATGTTCAAAAACCGGTTCGTTCACTCAATCCCTCCCCGCCCCATCGCCCCCTGATTTGCAAACACCATGGTTTTCACCTTCAAGATCAGCCTCCGTCCCGCTGGCGACCAGAGCTCCCCTGCTGGAGGTGCCATAGCACTCCTTGGCCTCAACCACCTCGAGCTTCGACGGAGCAGCTCCGTCCATATCCGTCCACTCTCGGATCAGATGGTCCAGTCCTGGTAGCTTGGAATCCTGGTACGGTAGCACTCATCCTATGGTCCTCCTAATTATATGAAACAAGTTCGCCTCATGCAACATGAACTCTTGAGTTGGGCTTCAAGAGACCGAAGAACTTGAAAAATAACATGAATCAGCTTCTTCAGTTCGTGACCTTTTGAAGGTTCCTTGTCGTGACCCTTAGGAGACTTAAGTGGCCTCAAACCAGGTTATGAAAAGGTCACTTTGAAGAACCAGGAAGTGAAGTTTCAACATCATCCCAACAAAAGGAACTTGTTGGTCGTCCACTGGTCCACCTTTATGTCATGGACTTCCTTCAGGACTTCCACAGGAACTGACCTAAGACGCTGCCGGTGACGTGCCTTGTTGGGCTGCCAAATGGACGACGCCTGCAGGATCGGATCGAGGTCTCCGAACGGAAGGGACGGGACGACGGGCGCCATGGAAGGTCTCTGAAGATGTTGAAACATGGGCGGCGGGCTTCAACATCCATTGTTCAACATCAAACTTCTCTTCCAGTGCAGCAAAAACAGTATATAATACTTTGCAGAGCAAAACGAAGGAGTTTGGCGAGATTGCTAGATCTGTGGAACCTGTTCAACAATGTTCAAGAAAAAAAGCACTCAGCAACGAGGGGTCTCTGAAAATATCCTTTCCAGCTCATCTACCTTAGCACAACCACTGCACTTGCAACTGTCATTCAGGTGTCCAGACAGCCAGGGACCAGGGGTTGCATAAAGAGAAGCAAAAGCTGGTTCTCACCCCAATCAAGCTCCCAGAGTCCTCACCTTCCATGAAGTTGATACTCGCATGTTGAATCTGCGTGACAGTGCCACCGCGTAAAAAGAAATGCATAGTTTCAAGGCGATTCACAGTTCAATTCATTTGGGGGAGCTGTCCAAGGTTTCATTGACAGCTGCTCTGTTCAACCACACCCATCGACCCACCCCAATCACCGCCCACGAAGATCACCGCCTCCAGGACCGCGACGTCCTCACCCTTCCACTTCAAGAGCCTTAGACGAGCTCCACTTCACTCCAGCAGCTCCCCACATGGATGCAACACACCGCCGGGCTCGACGTGCGCCAGGGCACAGGTTGTCGCCAGTCTTGAGCCCATCCACCTGGAGCGGCTGGAGTGGCCGGTGTGGATTCGGCCGGCTCGTGTGGAGGATGGCAAAAAGGGGGTTCAGTGTCAAAGGTCAACGTTGGTCTTCAAGGAGAAAAGACATTAAACATCCATCAAGTATCTGATGTATTGGTTGGTGCGCTGCAAACGAATTCACGTCTGCCATTACAAGCTAATCTCCGCATGAGCATTGACAAAGTTGATCGGAGCTTCCCTATACTTATTCTGCAATCCTCTTGGACATCCATAGAAACTGCTGTAGAAATTGCATGACGCCTTCCTCATCCTTCCAAATATCATCAGCCAACGGCCAACCTTCGCACATCTCCCTCCCAAATCCTGATCCATCTCCTCCTTGAAAACCAAAAATGCAACCTGATTTTCAGGCCCTTTTCACAGCTTCTTACGACGGAGGTCTCCCTCCCCTCCTCCAGTTCCTTGGCACGAGTGTTCACACACACTGGCCACACCCGATCCAAGCGCGACCCCGGGTTCCCCCACCACCTTCCATGGGTGAACCTGTCACCTTCCCCACCTTCTCCACCTCACACCTCCCCACACAGCCGCGCTCGCGCCTCGGGCAGGTCGAAGGTCACTGGAAGTCCAAAGAGCTGCTTCTCGGGGAGGCGCATGTCCTGGCGACCGGGCGACTCTCACGGTACTCTACGGGTGTCTCTGGTGGTTTCTACGAGCTCTCGATGTGGTGGTGGTCAGATCGGTGTCCACCGTCGAACCAGAAAACCGTCGCATGTCCTGGCGAGGCGACCCGTGGTGATTCGGGCTGGAGTCGTGCATGCGTCCTCCAACAAGCCCATGGAAGCTTGAGGTAGATGCTTCAGCCAACTTGGGATTCCTTTACGCCGCAAACCGAGCCTCCCCAGCAAAAGAGCCACTCAAAGATGTCATGCGTCTAGTGAAACGCAGGACCAGATCGCAAGAGCTACCAACTAAAAAACCAGTCTTTGAATCTGGTGGAAGCACAGAAACGGGATGTATACATTGTTTGAAGCCAGAGTTGTGTTTCAGTGGAGTTGTTACCATATGTTACCATACTGTCAGCTCCGTCTTCCCATAGGTGCTGAATAAATCTTTGGGGAACAGTGATCACCCATTCTGATGTACCCATTCACAAACTTAAGAGATCTCCAAGCGTGTTTTTGTTCGAAAGACCGAGAATACTTGGTGTAGAATGGATACATGTGTGTGTACGTGCTCGTGAGTTGGGTGAAGGCTCTAAGCCGGAAGGCCGGAAGCGCCCCAAAAAGACATCGACTTGGAAACGCTAAACATCGTCCGGGTCTAAAAGCTCCCTCGGCCAGTCTCGTAGGCACGGGCCATGGCAACAAGCGGTGCCCAAAAACCGCGCCTTCACCACGGAGTTGTAGGTGGTCTCATCCTCGGAGTTGGCCAGCTCACGCGGCTCCACCGAGGGGTTGATGGTTGTTTGGTACGGAAAGGTTTCGATCTGCATGGTTCAGACGTCATTAGCATTGACGTCAATATGTTGTCATTTCCTGGTGGATGTCATGGTTTTTCACGATCCAGGCAAGGGACATGAGCACCTGGTGATTTGGGAATTTCTTCATGAGGCTCAAGAGCAAAGAGCAGGGCCTTCTGACCTCATGTATGACTGCATGTATGACTCCCGTCTGTTCGGTTCCCCCACATTCCCCCACTTGCTCTTCTTCAAACATCCTCCGACTGCCCAAATCGAGCCTCGCCACATGTCCTACACCAAGCAGCCTCCACATGTCCACACACGCTGGAACGCGCGAACTCGCATCGGCATGGGCGTCGTCCGTTGAAACTGACCGAGTCGCCATGAAGCCGTGCAATGGGCTGAAGGCGCCGCTGAGGAGGCAGAAGACATCGCAGGCCTGTGAATGCGAGGTTCGACCTCCCCCCCCGCCCCGCGAGAGTCTTTTGGTTGCCTCTGAAAGGGCGAGGGGCCGAGTGGAGGCCGAGGAATGCCTGGAATACCTGGAGCTTGGATGGCGGGTTTTTCATAGGGTGTCTTTGTTGATCTTGATCTGTGACATCGATGGATCTGCACTGTTGGGAGCTCTTCCAGCCCCCAGTCAAAAAGATACAAACATATACAAACAGTAAATTTAATACCTCCGGGTCATGCTGCAAGCATCCCACTGAGGAATCACAGTGACAACAATGCTGAGTGTCAGCTTCACAGCACTGTCCCATATCAAAAAAATCAAAGACTCCTACTGCCCATGAAACTTTGGAGGGACTTCACCCATCTTCACCTAACAAAAAGATCTAAAACAACAAACACTTATAGTAGCCCTGTTTTTCAAAAGCACCTGTCGTTGGGCCCTGTTTTTCTTTTTGAGCCACAGTCATGGCCCCTCTGTCTTCAAGCCCTTGGCATCTAGACTTTGAACCGATGAAAACCACCGTCTCGACGGACTCGATCCACCTGGCGCTCGTTGAGCTCGATGCTCTTGGCCGCACCGGCCGCCATCTTCTTGGCGTCCGCCGGGTCCTCCATCCGACCGGGTCTCTCCGTGGGTCGGTTCCGGGAAGATGGATGCAGTGGTTGAACATGGTGGTTTCTGTCTGTTCACGGAAGGTTTTTTTTGGTAAAGGAAGCAGGAAGCTTGGGATTGAAGCCAGGAAAGTTTGACCATAAGAAAGTTGGATGGATTGGCATCCATGAAGCGGTCATTAGGCTTGCTCAGAAAGGCAGATCTTGGAGGAAGGTTAGGATATGTTAGGATAATATATCTTATTGGCATTCATTGATGGAGTATATTTTGCTGTAGTCTGGGCCGTCTTCAGCTGCAAGCCTTCCGCCAATTAGAAGTGCCTGGAGTGCCCATAGCTTTTTGAGACTCAGTCTTGCGAAGGGGTGTGTTTGGGAGACTCCGTCTTTCTGTCTTGGGCACTTTCAGAAGTGAGCTAGTTCATCATGTGCCCAGGCGAAACATCACTCTTGGGACAACGAGCCTTTCCTGGATGAAGCCAGGCTGATAGTTCAATACCAACTGGGAGGAAGCCACACGGTATACACGGATTCCGTCAGTCATTGGTGAACCATGTTCATGACTTTGAGGGCTGCTAGAAGCACTCAAACCTGGCTGGACCCAGGTTCACGACGATCGTCTCTCCGTCCTCACCCGTTCTCCTCACCTCTCTTTCTCCGACCATTATTGCTCCCCGGTCCTTGATCATCAGATCCACCAAGGATCCTCCATGAGGCGCACCGGCGCTGGTGGTTCGGGTGTGGATACCTCGGTCCGCGTGGGTCCACCGTCCTCCGTCCGTCCTCCCCGCGGTTGGAGTCCGGGTCGTTGGGAGGGCCGGAGGGCCGGAGGGCACCCCCAGAGGACGTCCCGTTCTGCAGGAGGTATGCCCGAGATCGCATGGAGGAAGGTTTCACCACTCGTTCGTGAGGATTGCGTGTGTAACTGAATAGCTGAACCTCAGTCGACTTCAAATCTACTCTCAAGATTCCAAGAGGGAAGACTTGAAATCCGAGGGTCATGTTGCATTTTCAAAGAGCAATCAGCTTGGGGATACGGCATTTTGGGGCCCTGACAGCTTGTGTTCCTCTGTTGTTCAGGACTCTTCCACTAAGACTTTGGGATTCACTGGGTGCGTTCAAAAATGAAACAAAGCGGATATTCCAACCACATCTTCCTTGCAATTTGCCTGGTGACCTTGGACAATACATTTTGTAGTACAGAACGGTTTGCGCAACCTCTTTTGCTACAAAATGCAAAGTCCCATGCATAAACACAGTACTACAAAATGACCCATGGAAGTATGGTGCGCTACAAAATCAAGGGCCCCAACCCTTCTATATGGAAAATACCTGGTGGGATTTATAGCTACTACAAAATGTATTGACATGCCCCTCAGCAAGCACCAAGAAATGCTCACTACAAAATGTCGCCGCCCTCTCTTTTGTCTCATCTGCCTTACCACCCAGGAAGCTGGTGGTCCTGAATGTGCATTCTTTACCACCCCAGCTGGCCTCCAAAGGCACAGCAGGCGACCTACCTAATTGACTATTGGAATTGCTTGGGGCGTCCTCACATGCCCACAGAGATTCCTATGGAATCAGCAATTCTGCTTTCCCATCTGCGCTACCCATGCCTGAACTGGAGGAAGCAACTGTTACACGCAAACCGTGATTTAGGATGAGGATGGATGAGGATGAGGATAGACAAGACAATACTGGCAATACAAAATGGTTTCCTCATGCCCATTTGCTACAAAATGAGGCTGCCATAGACTACCCAAACAGAAATGCAATAACATCCAAGTGAGCAGTTGTGAAAGGCTGGATAGCATTTTCTAAGATGAATTGATGCATGGTGTTCAGGACTTGGTGGCATGTTTTGCCGCGAGATGCTCGCAAAAGTCCGTCTAGCAACTACAAAATGGATCAAAATGGTCTCCTCATCCATGTCTGCTACAAAATGAACCTACCCAACCAACCAAACAAAAAATCTCTTGCTGAACGATGGTGAAAGGCTCATGGTCATGGTGCTTAGATGTGCTTAGGACTTCTTGCTGGCACTTTTTGCCGCGAGATACTCGCAAATGTCCTTCAACATTCTTAAAAAACCCTGGCGATTTGGCGGATCACGGGTCAGCTGTGAACGCAATGTGTCGAAGTACTTGCTCACAGAGCGTCCAAACACGTCTGGCGTCTTCATGTGAGCAAACCTCACCACACAGGCAAAAGGTTATTGTGAGTCATTTTGTAGTGAAAGGGAACTAATAGATTATTTTCCTGCAGTTTGTAGAAGGGTCGGGTCCCACTCAGCATCTCTAAACTACTCCGTTTGAAACCAGTGAAAAAGGTCGAAGCATGTCCAAGTATCAAAGCGTCAACAGCTTCATGGCATTCGTGGATGATCTGTTCCTTGGTCTTTCCCTCGGCGGGTGCCAACTTCAAGCGGCGCAACCCATCATTGGAGAAAGCTGGGGCATTCTGGAATGCCTTGTGATCCAATTCGATGAGCTCTGAGACCTGGCCCCTGATCAACGCATACCCCTTGTTCGTCCTGCGATAGTCCTTGAAAGTTGGGGGCTCCACTGACAGGCTCACAAGTACCGGCTTTGTCTTCTTCTTCCTCTTTCTTTTTTTCTCTTCCCCCTTCGCGCACTCCTTCTCAACCTCTCCCTTCTTCTTGCCTTTCAGCTTCTTCTTCCTCTTGCCGCCGTCAGACGCATGTTTTGCCTTCTTTGCACGCCCGAGACGGCTGCGCTTCCTCTTGCCACTGCCACCCTTCCCCAACTCGTGCATGGCCTTCTGCGCACCTGACATCAAGCTGGCTGACTTCTTGCCGCTTCCTCGCACCATAGTTGGGTTCACGGCCCAGCCCTGCATATCCGGTAGCCTCAGAACCGCTTGGGCACTGTCCTCGCTGATGGTCACGCGCACGGACCCAGAGTTGTCCAAAGGAAAGCTGCCTTACAAAAACAGGCACTGCAACAGAACAGCACACTCTACAAAATGCACACTCAGAGGAAAAACGCTACAAAATGCATGAGGTATAACAAAAGGATACAAAGGGGTACCTTAACTATGTTGCAGGGCGCAGTGTGTGCAATCCAAGATGGTGATGAGGGACTCTGTTCGGGCAACCCATGCAAGTGAATCTTTGCGGCAGCTCCACTGTGATGGAGATTCCTGCCCCAACGCAACGCAAGTCAGTCATGGCCAGCAAGTCCTAGAGCCTCCTACATCAGCCACTCTGAAAACCCATACTCTAAAGAATGACCAGGAATGCCAACTGTAAATCCAAACAGACTCATACACTCTCTTCCTATCATTTTGTAGTGTTAGCAATGAATACCTTTTATTTTGTAGCCATATAGTTGATTCTAGACGCTCCTCCGATGCGCTTTCCAGCTGAAGTTGCACTGCTCGGAAAGCCACAACAGAGTTGATCGGTGTGTCTCCACAAATCAGCTTTGGCATCTTGACTCCACGCCATACTGACAAGATCATACCTGTTTCCACACTGGAAGTCCTACTTGGTGTGTGGAATAGGACAATGTTCCCTGGCCTCAGCAGTGGACACTCTCGATTCGTCAAAAGAATTATCTTTTAGAGTTGTACTAAAAACATCAAAAAACTACTAAACAATTGAAAGTGCTCAGCAAAAACTACTAAAAATTGAAAGTGCCCAGCCATACTGCTCAGACTATATTCCTCTTTCCCCCCGTCCAATATCTATCAATCACAAATAACATCAAATATCATCAAATATTAGCAAATAATCACATGATATCAAAGTCACTTCAAGGTTTCCAGCGCTCCAGGAGGTAGCTGCAAATCTTTCCGAGCCCTTTCTGCGACTTCTCGCCACTTGGCTAGGCGACTGGTGCGGCTGTTGTGAAAGCCTTCTTCCTGCTGATGGTTGATCTGCGCGATACGCCGTTCATTGTACCTCAAGATCCACACATAGATTGCTTGCCTCCAACTTACATTCACTACAGAATGCATGTACACATTGTTTTCAGAAACTGTGTTCTACAAAATGTAAAATCATACCCTTGCATTACGGCAGATGCTATCCATGCCTGCAAACATATTCTAATACATTCCAATACTATGTTGCTGACATTGCGTTGTATGAGATCGTATGAGTATTGACAGAAAAATACAGAATGGTTTTCCCAGCCTCATTGGCTACAAAATGAAAGGCAACATGCCAAGACACAGTATCATGTCACGTCAAACCCATCTCGTTTCTATTTATCTTGCCGTGGGGCTGGTACCAGTTGAGCGCTGATGCTGCCCTCCGGGTGTTCTGCGGATTCTTCAAGAATCCACTGTCAAGGCCACCCCTCATTGACCGTAATCGCAGGCACAATCGGAAGATGCTGTTCAACCTGCAGCCTTTGTTCGCCAAAGCATGCCTCAGAGTACCTGGAAGCGGCCTTCGCTTCCGACCAGATCTGGACTGTTCAGATCCAAAAGGTTCTAGAATCGCTGGTTTCTCCATCAGCTCTTCTAGCTGTTCTCGATCAGGAACTCCAGCTAGGTCATTGTCCACTGTTTCCGAGTGTCTCTCCTCAGTTGACTCAGCTTGCTCATCACCAACCTTGAAAGCCGAAGGTTCCACGGTCTCAGCCTGAAGTGCATCCAAAAACTCTGTGCGTTCATTCTTTGCGGTTTCCTCGCAAGCCAATTCTTCGTCGCCCATCTCAAGTTCGTCCTCTTCAAGAGCATCATTTTCCGTGTCCCAGAAGCCGACGGCACAGTAGTCCTGATACCACTTCTCCAGCTTCTCAGTCGGCACCTTGCTGCACCAGGATGCCAATTCAAGCGCCGCTTTCATGCCATTCTCACAGCAAGTCTGGAACCTTGCTGACTGGCAGCAAGCACGCTCTACAAAATGCAAGGGAATTAATGGGAATTACCAATACCTCTACAAAAACATAAAGACATGTAGGGACCATCACCATGTGATGAACAAACAGGGACAGTGCAAACAAGCCACTCTGAATCTGTCAAGGCAGCTTCTTGACGAGCAGGCGTAGCTTTCAACTTGTTCAACTTCCCCTGCCCTTAAGTTCTGTCTTGCGCATGCCAAAAAGTAGCTCCGGGCCGAGACCTGACTATTGCTGGACTGCTGCCGGATTCCCGCAAACCACTGTTCCACAGAAATTTCTGTGAGCCGTCCATGTCCATGATCAAAGCAATTGTACCAGGGAGGTTTTGTCAAAGTAACCACGATGGTCGCTAAAGCGGCACTTTGGGCATTGCTTAGCGTCTGACCTGCATAGAAGCAACTTCCTGCAGGAAGCTCCATGGCTTTGCACTTGCGGTCAGCCAAGATTTTGAACAGGTCCATGCCGACGAAGCCACTCACGGCGTTTTCGCACCGTTCAGCCATTGTCAAATCTCGGTGGACCAAGCCGGAAAGGCACAACGCTGTCATGCAGTTGTGGATGCAAAGACCGGACAGGCTCCACGGAATGGTCATGGCTTCCAAACTGCCTTCCTCAGGAGAAAAGAGGGCTGTGGAAGTGCAATCTGTAGAGTAGAGAAGCACAATGGTCGAAGTGAAAGTACCATCTACAATCATCACTATAACATACTATAAACCTCTATATACATCTATAATCATCTATATACATCATTATACATCTATATACATCTATATAGCACTAGCGCTACTAGGACTTATTCTTCCAACCTTTGAAGGCGCTGCCTACGAGTGATCTTGTGTTCAGCTCATTTAGTAGTAATCCTAGATGGCCCAAG